GAGACCAAATAAAATAAACAAAGAGATGGAGAAGGAGAGACAAGGTCTGCGGAACACAACAGCTACCTCAAAATCTCCTGAAAATCAATTGCGCGAACGGATCAACACCCGCTATGTCCGGGAACACCTAGATCTGCACACGAAGTGCAAGGTGTAGTGTGAGTACAACCAACTCAGCAAGTAACAATAATAAATAAGGAACTGGAGATAGTAACGAGCTACACAGTTATGGTTCATTTTCAGTAATTCCAGCAAAGAATAGACATGCTATCAAATCTGACAGTTTAATGTCAAATCAATTTTTATACAATTCCTATTCATGTAATCCGTATATAAAAATCTTTCAGAGATTTCACCATAATGACAGATAGCAATTAAGTGCAACAACAAAGGGAAATCAAGTACAACCTCTGAGGACAACAATCACTCACTGGACTCCCAGCTCTCATCACTCACTAGGTTCCCAGCCCTCATCACTCACTGGGTTCCCAGCCCTCATTACTCACTCTCCATGGGTACCCGCACTCACTGGGGGTGTACAGACTCCGGAGGGGCTCTTACAGTCCAAGCGCTATAATCTGCACGAACAACTCACGTGCCATAATATAAATATCTGGATCTGCATAACTCACGTGCTGCACGGCCAACTCACGTGCTATAGTATAATATAAGGATCCGCGCGGCCAACTCACGTGTTGCACGACCAACTCACGTGCTATAGTATAATATAAGGATCCGCGCGGCCAACTCACGTGTTGCACGACCAACTCACGTGCTATAGTATAATATAAGGATCTGCACGGACAACTCACATGCTATAGTATCAATATCTTACAATCAGGCCCTCGACCTCACTCAGTCATAAATCTCTCCAGTCTCTCGGGCTCTTAATAATCATGAAATCAGCCCAAACAACAATGATATGATACATCAATAATAATAACAGAGACTGAGATAAAATGTGCAAGTAAAAGCTGAGACTGAGTACATATAGCATTTAGCAGGCAATTCAACAAGTACGCGGCCTCTGTGGGTCCCAACAGTACTATCACATAGCCTAAGCATGATTTCTAACATGATTTACAGTCAAATTTTATCAACACATAGAGAGCATATAGCTAACAATAAATTATTCAACTTTACAGTTTCCCGGGACGGACCAAGTCACAATCCCTTCGGTGTACGCCCACACGCCCGTCACCTAGCATGTGCGTTACCTCCAAAATAATCACATGATACCAAAATTCAGGGTTTCATACCCTCATGACCAAATTTAAAACTGTTACTTACCTCAGTGTGTGAAATTCTTTACTCTGCTATGCCCTTGCCTCGCAAATCGGCCTCTGAATGTCTCGAATCTAGTCACAATTAATTCGTTTCGGTCAATAAAATTTAATGGAATTAATTCCTTAAGAAAATGCTAATTTTTCATAAAAATTTGAAATTTTAGCTCAAAAATCGCCCGTGGGGCTCACGCCTCGGAACCCGACAAAAGTTACAAAATTCGAACACCCATTCCGATACGAGTTCAACCATACCAATTTTATCAAATTCCGATAACAACTCGACCTCCAAATCTTAAATTTTTGTTTTTGGAAGATTTTGCAAAAATCTTGATTTCTTCCATTTATATCTGAAATAAATGATGAATATAACCATAGAATCATGAAGTATAATCACTTTCGGATATAGAACACTTACCCCAATCCATATGGTGAAAATCGCTTCAATCCGAGCTTCATAGCTCCAAATATATTAAAAATGGCTGAAACTTCAAAATATAGCTACTGCGCAGGTATTTACTCTTCGAGATCGCAAAGCACAAAAATTTTCAGTCCCAAAATTGCTCTTCGCGATCGCGAAGAACAAACTCCCCAATATCTTCCAGGCAGCCTCCAGTATAATGGTCATAACGTTTTGTACAAAACTCCAAATTGTAAATGGTTTAACTTTCTGAAAACTAGACACCAAGGGCTATAACTTGCATTTGCTGCTCATCTCCTGATTCTTTATAGAGTTCGAGATATAAGCTTCCAAAGTCAGCCCTATGCAACAGAAATTTCCAAAATCTTTCCGGATAGCTTGTAGTGTATCTACCATAATATTTTGTACACAACTCCAAATGACAATTAGTTTATATTTCTGAAAATTAGACATCAAGGGCTACAACTTTCATTTTTGGATCATCTCCAAATTCCTTATAGATTGCAGGATATAAGCTTCCAAAATCGGGTCAGTGCAACAGGATTTTTCTCTACGTGATCGCGATTCACAGTGCCCAAACAGCAAAATTGCTCTTCGCGATAGTGACCATTTGTCCGTGATAGCGATGCATACCTTTGTGGCCAAAAATCAGCAACTAAGAATGGCCTAGAAATGGTCTGAAACCACCCTTAAACTCACTCGAGCTCCTCGGGACCTCAACCAATTATACCAACAAGTCCTAAAACATCATACGAACTTAGTCGAAGCCTCGAATCACATCAAACAACGCTAAAACCACGAATCATGCCCCAATTCAAGCCTAATGAACTTTAAACTTTTAAATTCTATATTTTGTGCAGAAATACATCAAATCAATCCGGAATGACTTTAAATTTTGCACACAAGTCATAAATGACATAACGAAGCTATTCAAATTTCCAGAATCGGATTCCGACCTCGATATCAAAAAGTCAACCTCCGGTCAAACTTTCCAAAATTCAACTTTCGGCATTTCAAGCTTAATTCCACTACGGACCTCCAAATAATTTTTCGGACACACTCCTAAGTCCAAAATCACCATACGGAGCTATTGGAATCATCAGAATTAAATTCTGAGGTCGTTTACACATAAGTCAATATCCGGTCAACTATTTCAACTTAAGCTTCCAAGCTAATTCTGAAATACCTTAAAACCAAAACCAACAATTCACACAAGTCATAATACCTCGTAGGAAATTATTCAAGACTTCAAATAGTTAAAAGGAGCGTAAATGCTCAAAACGACCGGTCGGGTTGTTACAATAAGCTGGTAACAATTAAACAGTAATTGCGAATGATAATTAGACAAACTATAGTTACTAAGACTCTAAACTATAGTTTTTATGAAAATTCCTCAATAAGTTATGCCTGCTATCAGCATGTAGAAAAATTATGTATAACTAAAGATAAATCAACTATCAAAGCTTGTTGGGCCACCATTTAGAGAGATTGGGCTTTGTTGAACGGTGTTGTGAAGCAAAGAGATTTTAGGCCTCAGTTTTGTAGGGTGGAAAACAAATCCTTATTGTCCAAATTTATTAGAAGAATTAACCCAAACAGTCACTCACATAATCTCTTAAACTATAAATAGCTGATGGATATTATATATATATATATATATATATATATATATNTATGTATAATATATGCATAACTATGTATAATCAATGTATAATATATATATACCAGCTAGAAAAAGCAAATATTAAATCCGACGGGCTATTTGTGTAACAATCCCAATTTATTATGGGCAAACGTGATCTAACAATGTGTCGGGTGAACTTTTATAAATATTATTATGGGGTTGGGGTGGGGGGCTTGGGGTTGTGGGAGGTTGAGTGAAGAATCCAACATTCCAAATCAAATCAATCTATGCATGATGGTTAAGCAAAGTATCGATGCTGTAATAGAGTTTTTTTCTTTTTTGGTTTCTCATTCGAGATCCGGTACCCGCTTTGGGATCCAACTAATTCAGATTTCCAACTAATTCAAATTTGTACCGAAAAGCCCGATTTTAGAGGTAAAATACTCTATACTAAAGGCGATTCTATAACCAATGCTCGAACTCAAAATATCTGATTAATAATAAATAAGTATTTATTACTCCACCACAATATTATAATAGAATCATTAGGGGAACACTTTATTGTCTGGTTAAAATCCACAGGAAAACTTTATTTGGTAAATGCCACTAAAAATTAAGTAGGGAGTATATACAACCCAAATGACAATTAAAATAAGTGAGATTCTATCATACAATTACAATGTATTCCAAGCATTACTTTTTATTATTCTGAGGATTGCTACGACTGATAAACTAACTTATTTATAAATGATCATATTCACTTAACTAGCTTGAAAGAGAATAAAAGAAGAAAAATATGAAACTTTGCAGGTCATATGATGTTATTATATAGTATATAATTTTATATATACCTGCCAGCTTCAATTTATAACTTATTTTAATTTTACAAATAATTGAACATGAAAATTAAGAAAAGATTCTTTGCCTAGGTAAAACGCATTCCAATTTGTATTTTACTTTCAAAGAGGTAACCTTTTCCAATCAAAAGGTTTATATATATATATATATTGATGATCTCCTCTTTATTGGTATTATACTAATATTTATTATAGGATAATTAATTGAAAGAATATTTATTATCGGTCCACCAAAAGTCATGGTTGGAATATAAATAGAAAAAAAAAAGGCTGTTTAAAGGAAAAGGAAAGAAATCAATAATTATAGAAACAATGAAGTCAAGAAAATAGGAGACCAAAATGGGACTATAATATGCCTAATAATCATGCATGAGCAAAAGTTGCTTTACATTTTTTTTTTCTTATAGCTTGAGATTTGTCCTTGTAATTAACTATATCAAAATTTACATATTTCATACTATTTTGATATAAAATTTCTATTCAATAACTTTTCGTTTATTCATCAGGTTCTAAGCTAGCACTAGGGAAGCTCAAGTTATCCCAAAAAGACTAAAAATTAAAAGAAAATCAATTAATTACAATGCAAGAACCCCACACGTTGCACAAAGTGCTTCCACCAAAAAGAAGTAATAAAAACTACTAAAGAAAATCAACAAATTAGTATGCAGGAACCCCACACGTTGTGCGAAATATAATACTTTCTGTACTTCTAATGTTTCTGTTAAAGATTTAATTTATATGACATCATAAAAAACAAATCATAAAATTTTGAATTGCCACGGTCAATAAATTAGTTGATTTTCTGTCTTACTAAATTAGGGTTACTATCAGTTAAGAATTTGCCCCTCTATCCTTTCTCCATTTAAGCGCAACTCTCCATCTCTATCACCTTAATATTCCTCTTCCATTTTCTTCTTCCTCTACCCCCATTGAACTTCAAGAACTCATAAAGCAAAATAAAGATGTCGACAGTACTAAGCATTCTTTTCTTAGCAATTCTCTTCATTATTGGACTTATCATAACTCTTTTAAATTTCCCAAAAGAAAAGTTCCAAACATGGATTCAATCAATCTCTCTAAAATCTCCACCTCTCCATGAGAAGAGCATAAGTACAACATGTTCAACCTCAAGAAGTATGGATGAAAAGAAGATGAAAAACAGCAGCATCAAAAGCACAAGCTCTAACAATTACAAGCTTGAATTGAGAAGTATTTTTGCAACTTTTGACAAGAATAATGATGGTTACATAACCAAGCAAGAATTGAAGTTATCTCTAAAGAATATTGGGATTTTCATTGAGGATAAAGATATTGTTGATATGGTTGAGAAAGTTGATTCCAACAATGATGGTTTAATTGATCTTGATGAGTTCTATCAACTTTGCCACACTTTCTTGGGAACAGAGACAGTGAATGAAGGAGAAATGAATGAAGAAGAAGAAGAAGCAAACAGAGAGAAAGATCTTAAGGATGCTTTTGATGTGTTTGATTATGATAAAGATGGATTAATATCAGAAGAAGAATTGAGTAAGATTCTTTCATCTTTAGGGTTGAGACAAGGGAAGAAGTTGGATTATTGTAAGGAGATGATAAGGAAAGTTGATGTGGATGGAGATGGAATGGTGAATTTTGATGAGTTCAAAAAGATGATCAAAGGTTGTGGAACTCTTGTTCCAATTTCTTGAGCAATCATGCAAAATTAACCCTCCTTTTCTATATCTTCTCAAGGCTTTTCAAGAAACCAATTATTGAAAAATGACCTTTGTTGCAAGCTATGCAAAACTCTAGTAGTCTCCATTATGGTTTGGTTAGAAAACCAAAGATATTTGTATGCATGATAGTATATTTAGTTTCTCTTAAAACTATTTCAAATTAAGTTGCTTCTGTTAGCAATTAGATATGACTCTTTCCTCTTTTTTATCGTCCGGCCAGCTTACCTGTATATTGGAAGTTTGCACCAACTTTATCGATCACTATGCCACACAGTATTTCTTTTGTTTTCATGATCTTCCTTTCTTTCTTTTTTGTCCTTTTTCAACCCCTGGAGTTGGGGGTACCCATGAATATGTAGGAGAAGGATCAGATATGACAACTGACCTGGGTCTCCATTCAAGTATTGATCAAATATGTACACTTGTTCAGCACTTGGTACTAAATATTTACCTACACAGAGCCACACGGCATTTATATCAAGCCAAACAATTAAGAGTTACAAAATTAAGTGAAAATACATGTCACTTAATTATCGTGTATGCAAGACAAATGTCTAGCATTTATTCGTTTAGTGTAAACATCGATTGTGTATAAGAGCAACTACAAAGGATTTCACTCCTGTATCTGCTTGTGATATGTCAAAAGTGTAGACATAAGAGAGCGTTTTAACCTATGCTAAGTTCAATTTTTTATAAACATCGCGCCCCCAACCCCTTTCCCCTTGTCCAAGAGAAATGGGTCCTTTCTCCTTTATAAATTAGGCAAAGTAAAAAGGTTTTATTAGAGAGCAATCTTTATTTATAGTTTAAAGTATTCATCAGAACACAACTCAGCGACAAGGACAAAACAAGAACTGGGACACTTCATATTACTTAACAATGAAGAATTTATTAAACGAAAAAGGTTAATTATTGGAGCAATGGAAGAGTACCCCGAATGTGACATATAAAATGGAAAAGAAATCAAACCGAACAAAAAATTAAAGCATAGAAACAGTGTTAAAATAGTTTCTTATCACTAGAAGAAGCTCGGAAATGTATGAACTTCGATTCTAATTGAAAGAATTGGAGAAAAGCCAATAAAAACTTGTCTATAAATGATACAAGTACCCTTCCGCTAATAACTTCAGCAGGGCACCTTAATCAAATAAACAGAAGTTCTAGCTTAATTTTATCGTTAGAGACACTTGTAACAACTGTGTCAATAGGAGATTACTGTTGCTATCCTATAGATTATACAGTCAATAAGGACATGATACATACTAAAAGATATCAGGGTTGAAACGCCCGGGAATAGAGTTGCTTTGTTGAGCTTGCTTGAGGTGCATCGAGAGAGCATAGTTATTAACCTGACGACATGGAAAGGTCAAACAATCACTACATTGTCATACGTGAGAAGTGGAATAGCAAGAAAACGATGCTAAATCAGAATCACAAATCCAGACAAGCAGTTAACTGTCATGGGTGCGTTAGTTCGCAATAGTGCAAACTAAAATTGGGTTTGACCTCTCAGATGAACGAAAAGGGCGAACCCTTTCCCTTCTTCCAACTATTTCAGCAGGGATTTGCATTCCCCAGCTTCATAGGAGAAAGCATGCTTTAAAGAATGAAAACCAGATTTTGATCCATTATTCTTTTCCTTTTCTTTAATATCTTTGATGTTTGGTCACAGTGAGGATGAGTGCAAAGCAAATGCAATAGATTTCCAGCCAATAAATAAACAACAAAAACATCATATCAGATTTAAGAGGATTTCACCTCAAGGGTTCTAAGCTGCTCCTGGTACTGAGCCACCGACTGCTTCAGCTGATTCAACTCGTGCCCTCTATCCTCGAACTCCTTCTGACGCTCATGCTGGATGGCAACTGCTCGCTTTAAAACAGCATTCTCTTGTATAAGAGCTTCAAACTGTTGCTTCAGCATTATGTTCTCCTGTTATCACTACCAAATTATAAGCATCTGATTTTTTATTTACAAAATATAGTAGAATAAAATAGAAGTAACAGACCAGAATAAACAAGATAATTAATCTGGGCTATGGAACTATGCCAGCACACACACTACCCTCACAAGCATTGATTTTTATAAGCAGCAGGGAGGTGAAGGGGGACATGAAATGACTAAAAAAAGACACACTACTAAATATGACAATCACCAGACCCAATCAAAAACAACTGCTCAAGATCTAAACATCTCTCCCTTTCACAAGAACTTTCTCCTTCATGTATATTTCATTCTTATTTTCTTCTTTCCTCTTATGTTCATGCAATTTGTTCTTCGCTACTTCCATTCATCCACCTGCTATTGAAGTATCCAAAAGCAACTTTGCACTTAATGCCCATAGCAAGTGTAGACAAGATAAAGAAAATAAAAAACGATAATATGAGCATTTAAGCACCTCGTGCATCCAACTACAGTAGTGTGAGCAAGTAAAATAGAAAAACAAAGATAAAAGAGATGTCAGGTGTTTATAATGCGGGAATATTAAAATTACTGAAAGAGCATTCGAGGACCACCTGCTGGAAACTGCAAGCTGTTGCCTCTGTTGCACGGGCACATATGGACTTCTCCAACACCTCAAGAGCTCGTGAGGCACGGGCTTTAGCATCATCTATATTTGACGCACTCATCATCTCTCTGACGAAGAGTTCCACCCATTCTGTACTGTCCATATGCACTACTTCTGCAGCAGATAAATCCTCTGCAGGTGTGGTGTCACCATTAGTTGTAGCTGTACCTGCAATAAAGTGAAGGAACTATGTCTATGTAAAGGGAAAAGTAGAATTATGCTAGAAAATCACCCAGTGAATGTACTGATACAGCTTGACATCATGGTGAATATCAATAACAGCAAGTGGATCAAGAAGGAGACATAAATTACACAATTTTCAGATGCATTCAGCAAAGCAAGGCAGGAAACAGTTTAACTTTATGATAAAAAAGCTACTTCTTTAAGTTTTGCCATCTTTTCATAACAGGGTCATTTCGGCGCATTTTTTTAGCAGTAACACGTCCATGGCCTAGAGTGACCCATTTTGCATGAGAAGAAGCACACGGATAATGCAGGAGTTGTATCAGTAATTTAACTCCCATTGACTGATGACAAGATCAAAAATTAAGGGGATTGGCAACTATGTCTTTCAGAAAACATGAAATTTATGTTACGGTAAACTAAACAGCTAGCCTTGACCAAATTTAACTGAATCATGAACAGAGAGCGTCAGTCTTGAACTAACACTTGATTCCCTTATTGACTTGTCAAACTTTTTAGTCGAATCACAAGCATAAATAACGTACTGTCATTGTTTAGCGTCCTATATAACTACCAATTGTTTTCTCATACTTCCACTCAATGACACAATATTACTAGGCCCTTCACCACGACCGAAATAAAAGTAACTGAGTAATGTCTGTATAAACTAATACAAGGAATATGCATCAAAGGAAAAAAAGTTGAGGAGGTGAAGTTATCACAAGAAGGACCATGTTATTAGACACTTCAATAGTTAGTTGGGTTAAGATTTATAAAGTGGAGGTTCGTTTGCACATAAATCAAGGAGCAGACAAACCTCTACCAACTATATCAAGCAATAGTACAAGTTTGAAATTCACGGAACAAAAGCAAGATAACGAGTCGATAATATGGACCAGAAGTGACCACATGCTCAGTTTAAAGAGCACCAAAAACCACCAATTGTGAAGCATTAAATGATAAGCAGTTACTTAGACATTTGTGATTGAAATATTTCCAAAATTGATAAAACGTTATAAAGCATAAGTAGGTGAGTTGACAGGACACTGACAAACATTTGGAAAATGGGAAAATCAATAACGATACATCAGGTGGGCATAAGCAGGAGCAGAGTTTTAGACAGATGAATGATGACATTACATGGATCTGCTGAGAATTACAAAGAGATCAACAATAAGGCGTAGTACAATGGGTAAGAAGTTGAAATTTTTTTACATGTAGGTTGGACAAAATGATCTCAGTCGAGGCAACTGCCTCAAAAAGGGGCAAGAACATATCATCAATAAGAAACAAAGAAACAAAGAAACAAAATTCAATGTGCACCTTGAGTAAAAAACTGGCTGCCGGACTCCTGGGTAGCACCAGAGCTTCCTGCCACAGACCTTGGATTCTCACCAGATCCCAAGCGAAGCTCATTTAGGCTTTTGATAGCAGAATCTAGATCATCACCGCATTCTTCAAGTGCTCTCTCAACCAACTGAAAAATCAAATCTCTAGGTTAAGTTTTCTCTTTTTAAGGTAAATCCAGAAAATTGTATCAAGAACTCAAGATATCTAAAGTGAATAAATGCATTGATGCCCAAAATCGACAACCCATGGAAATTCTTTTAAATGAAAAAACAAATGTTAGCTTCGTCCATGATATCACAAGATGACAGTAATCAGAGTGCGTACCATTTCTGAATCACATAATCAATAGGAATAGACCGCAAATTCTAAATCCTACACCCCATGTCAATAAAACAAATGAAGAGTGGAATTTTGAATCTGCATCTATGAGGGATCACTTAAGTAAAATTAACTCCACCAGTAGGAAACAAAAGAAACAACCTGTTTTTTCCTTTTTGGTTATTTTTCCTTCTTTTTTCGTAACGTAACAAGGCTTTAAATTAGCTAAAAAGTCATCAGGCACATTATATATGATATGCATCAACAGTAACTCTGAGAACGGTGCACTTTTTCAGTTCTTTTAAAGTAGAAAAGGAAATTTGGCATCTTTTATCCAGACCCCAATCGTGAGAAACTATGAGAAACTACTGGGTTGGTTGTTGTAATGTTGTCAGATGCTCCAAATTCTTGTTATGTTACAAGAGTAACACATGACGTTTGCTCTCAAAGAAGCACAATTATTTTTTTAACCTCATACTCTTCAATTGGTTTGATACCCTTATAAAATGTCCATCTCTCCTTCTAAGATAGTCCACACCTAAAATTGGTGGATTTCGGGAATTTTTTAATTCTAAAACATTTTAGAAGTTAAAAGAATCTGATCACACAAGTTGGGCCAAGATTCTTTTTACTCTAGACAGCAAGTTGTATGTCTTTGGGATAAGTGTGAAACTTTTCCAAAACCTTCTCTAAAATCCAACAACAACAACCCAGTATAATCCCACTAGTGGGGTCTGAGGAGGGTAGTTTGTATGCAGACCTTACCCCAACAACAACAACAACAACCCAGTATAATCCTACTAGTGGGGTCTGAGGAGGATAGTTTGTATGAAGACCTTACCCCTACCCTGGGGTAGAGAGACTGTTTCTGATAGACCCTCGGCTCCCTCCCTCCAAGAACTCTCCACCTTACTCTTGGGGTGACTCGAACTCACAACCTCTTGGTTGGAAGTGGAGGGTGCTCATCACTAGAGCAACCCACTCTTGTCCTTCTCTAAAAACCAAGGATAACTAAAAGCTATCCAACTCTTGTGCTCTCTTTCCCTCCATTAAAGGAGACCAGTGGAGAAATAGCAGTTAACCAATCAACTTATCAGCCCTTTTTCAAACACTAGGAGAATATGCTAGCCTCACTGCAAATCAATTATGCTGGCACCAAGTTCCGACAGTGCAAAAAATTAGCAATATTGAGTGATACATCTCCAACTTAAAACTACAAACAGTCAAACAGCATATGAAAGACAATGTTTAAAACCATTTCACGGTTCAAATTTGTATGTTTAAATAGTTCTCCAAACCGATAATAGTAGGCAAATCTTCGTCCAGTAAAATCAGTATCCTCGGCACATTTCAATTTCCCACTCATATAAGTTACAAAATCATAAGAAATACATTACCTAAAAGTTCCTATCCCACTCAAAATATACTCTCTACATCCCAAAACAACTAAATTAAGGACGTAGAAAGCCTTTTTTTAGTCAACGGAGCTTGTCCAATACTTTCTTTTGTAAAGATAAGTCCAATACCTTTTTTGAAAACATTGCTTATCTAATAGCTAAATTAAAGATGATAAATCAAGCATATTTTTCTTCGTCATCAAGCTAGTCCAATAATTAAACAAAAAAAAATGGATGATTTTTACAGCTAAAAATCCCGAAACAATATGAAACACCAAACAAATTACACCGAAATTGCAAAATACTAAGAAAATCGATTGAAACAGTTAAAAACAAAAGGAGCTAAACCTGTTTGTCCATATCAGGAAAGAGCGTGAGAAGATGATCGAGTGCCGACGACGATGAAACCGAAGAATCGGAGAAAATATTAACAGCAGAAAATGAATGATCGGAATCACAATTTGACCTCGCCGGAGAAAAAGACGAAGAAAAATAGCGAATTCTCTTCGGAATCGGCGGCGAAGACGACGACGACGGCGAAGACTGAAAATCCTCAAAAAAATAGTTCGATCTCTTCCCGCACAATATAGCAGCAGCAGCAGACATGTTTTTCCTTTTTCAGATTTCTACTCTGAGTCGGAACAACAATAATTCCTCTTTCACCGTTCCGATCATGCAGATTTATATATATTAAAAATTTGAGGGGAAAATTACAAAATTTAAATCAGAAAATCAAATTCGATTAATCCAAAGTCGTCTAAACAGAAAAAAATATGGTTGGATTTCCAAAAACTTTACGTCTTTGTCTATATACAAACAACCTCAGCTCACCTATCTGGACAAACGGAAAAAAGAGAAATAAAAAAAATTGTTTAACAGTAACTTTCCAATTTTTTACTTTACTGGTCTTACGGTACACTGTATATCAGAAAATATAATTTCTTAGAATTAAATAAATATTATTAAAATTGGATGAGTTATAGAATAAAAAATAAAAGTTTAAACTCCTAAAAATTATAAATTTCGATCATATTTAAGAAAGGAAGAAATTGTACACCAAAGAAATTCTCCAAATGACCAGCAAATCATATGATGTTAGAAAAAATAACAAGAACTACTGCACTACATAACCTGAAATCTAGAGATATTATTATCAGTATAAATTCTAAAGAGAAAGTAGCTTTGAAAAAATTGCCCAAGAGCGTATTTGTAATCTTCGTATTTGTGTAGTTGTGTGTGTTTGGAACATTGATAAAAAATTACTGCCAAACTTCATAGCAATTACATCTAACTTAAATAGAAAAATAACTTTTAACTATTCCCAACTAAAAAAAGTTTGACAAAATATTAATTACATCTTTACACCACTCCTAAGATACTTGGACACCTAATGTTTCAACTAAAATTTCAAATCACTTTTACTTTAGTACTTAAGTCTTATGCATATTAACTTGAACTTGGATTAACTTATTGAAAAACTAATTTGGATAAGAAAGTCGCGCCTAAGGTGCTTTTATAATAATTAGTTTGAAGCCATATAATTAACTAAAGAACTAAAGAAAATTTCAAGAGTAAATTCATATAAAAGCAAAAATAAAAACAATGATGTCAGAAATATAATTAGCTATATATGAATATACTTACATAAACAAACATGCAGAAAAGAACTCACATCGTTTGAAGGTGTTTAGGCAAACACGAGTGACAATATTTGTACTAAAAAATTGATTTATGAAGTGTAGATAAATTATAAGCATTGGAGACCCACATACGTCAACGCAAACTTCTATTTACAATTTATTTTTTTAAAATATAAAAAATCTTATAAATATAAGCACAGACAAGATAATAATCTCCAATAAATCAACCACAACGAAAGAATTACATAATATAAGAACTAATTGTACGAAAAATGAACATAGCAACAAAAAAAAGGCTGAATTGCACAAGCTTTATTGATTTTTAGTCATACCATTTAAGAGACTTACTAACTCTATATGGATAGCAAGACATCACCCTAGTTGAATAGCAAGAAATACAAGCATAAGCTAACTTCCCTTCCAAAAGCGCTACTGGAACCGTAATCATTAACCTTTGAATTTGCAATTCTTAATCAAGCATGCATATACGAGACATACGTCCTATAAAATCCATAATTAATAACCTTTCAATTTGTAATTTTTTTTTATCAAGAATGCATGTTTATTATTACATAACTTCAAGAAGAGATTACTTGTAGAAAATTTTCCTCAAATCTCAAGTTAGTTCACCTCTGAATGTTGGCGCTATCAAGATATAGAAATAAAGTGAATGCTAAACCTAAACAAAGACAAGTAACATGAATTAATTGGTAATAAAGAACCAAACAAACAATAACGAATAATAAACAGAGAAGAACTTAAGAAATCCTAAACCTAGTGAAAAGCTACACCGCAATAAAAAATCCTAATTATACATAAACAAAGGAGAGCCTAAAGAATTATAAACCTAAATAAAGTAAAGTCCTAGCCAACAGAAAACACTAAACGGGAGTTTTTATTTTTTGAAAAATAAAATTTCTCATTACAATTACAATTATATCAATGTAGAATGCATATAGGAAGGGTAAAAAGGACGAACAATATTTCGATAGGGGTTTCGTGCTTTTAATATAGTACTTGCTTCTATGTACGTGTGTTTCACGTATATCCATTGTCAACTAATTTAAATTTTCACTACTAAAAAATCTGATTTCAGCGACGGACAAATTCTGTAACTAAACAGAAAAATTCGTCGCTAATCTCATTTAGCGACGGATTGGCGATAGATTATCAAGAAATTCTGCTAGCTACGGGTGATTTAGCGACAGATTAGCGACGACGTTCGTAGCTAATGCCAGTTATTTTTTGTAGTGTTTGTATAAGAATGATAAATTTACTTGCATGTAGACCTGTTAAATTTAAAAGAATTGAATCTTGTTCAAACTTTAAAAAAGGAAAATCAAAGTAAATTAATTAGATATCTGTTGTTTTCACTCTATATTTCTAAATAATTTTGTAATTATGGAATGTCATGCTACAAAGTGTTTCTTTTCTTTTTCTCCACTAATAATTAAGTTCTGAAGTGATTTAGGAAAAAATAGAGGTCTTATGAATCAAGAAATAGTCATATATTGGTGGTGGTTAGTTGATCAAGTTTTGTTTGTTTGACTAATGTTACCGAGATCCTGTTACCTTCTTTTGTAGTTCAACCTTTATACATGATATAATTGAAAGTTAAAGAGTTTGGATGTGAAGTTGTCTTATAGTTACGAAGATCTGTAAATGCATGATCCTAGACGAAATTCGCAAATTTGGTTTACTTCGAAACACATACTCATCATGACCAAAAGCTCCCCTATAATCTCTCAGAGATATTTGGCATCCATGTATATTTCTCACGGTCAAGTCACCCATGATAGTCACCATATTAACCGTTAAATAAACTTGTATTTGGGGACTTTATATCTCTATGATTATTTGTAGCGACCCAACTTGTCATTTTGAGAATTAGCGTTCCGTTCGGTGGCTTAAGGTCTCGAGCAGCTTTGAAATATGTATTATAACTTACGAGGGTGATCAAGTTTGGTTTTCGGATGATTCGGGATTTAATTGAAAGAATAATTCTTGTTTTGGAAGCTTAAGTTGAAACAATGGACCGGATAGTGAATTATGTGTAAACGACCCCGGAATAAAATTCTGATAGTTCCAATAGCTCCGTATGATAATTTCGGACTTAGCAGTGTATCCGAATATTTATTTTGAGGTTCGTAGCTAAATTAGGCTTGAAATGGCAAAAATAGAAAATTTAAGTTTGGAAGTTTGACCGGGGAGTTGACTTTTTGATATCGGGATCGAAATCCGATTCTGAAAATTGAAACAACTTCATTATGTTATTTATGACTTGTGTGCAAAATTGAAGGTCAATCGGAGTTGATTTGATAGGTTTCGGCATCAAATGTAGAAATTGGAATCTCTTAGTTTCATTAGGCTTGAATTGGGGTGTAATTCGTGATTTTAGTGTTGTTTGATGTGATTTGAGGCCCCGACTAAGTCCGTAATATATTTTGAGACTTGTTGATATGTTCGGACGGGGTCCCGAGGGGTTCGGGTGAGTTTCGGAGTGGTTTCGGACCATTTCTAGGCCATTTTTAAATGCTGGTTTTTTTGCTACATCAGTGTGCATCACAGAAATTTCTGTTGCACAAGACTGACTTTGGAAGCTTATATCTCGTAATCTATAAGGAATTTGGTGATGATCCAAAAAAAAGTTGTAGCCCTTTGTATCTAGTTTTCAGAAATTTAAACCGTTTGGCAGTTGGAGTTGGGTACAAGATGTTATGGTTGATAAATTATAGGCTGTCGGGGAAGAGTTTTGGGAGAGTTTGGTGTTTTGAGCATAAGCATGTAATGATCCAAAGGTCCATTTTTAGTTCTAGAGATTGAAATTCGATTTCGAGACTTCCAAGATTTTGATAATGAATTATAGGAGTGATCTGAAAAGTTTGGTCTAATTTCATCAAGTCGCGATTGGGTTTTTAGCGCGAAACATGAGTTAATTGTTTAACGAGCGAAATTGGTATCGCGTTGAGAAAATGAGCTCCGAATTGAGTTTTGATTGAACGACTAGTCTCGTATTATTATTTTTGACTCATAGGAACAAGAGTTGTCGAATTCCGAGTTCGTATGATAGTGTTAGAGCCTTTTTAGTGAAACAAAAAACTGTTGGTGCAAGCAAGTTCTGGTGTGGACTTTTAGTGACGGAAAATGGACTTTTAGTGACGGATGAGCAGAAACTTAAGGACCAAAAAATGGTCATTTCCTTCATTTCGTTTTGGATTTTTAGAGCACGGTTCTTGGGCGATTTTGAGGATTTCTTCACGACTTCAACTTGGATAAGTGTTCTATATCCAAAAGTGATTATATTTCATAAATCAATGGTTATATTCATCATTTATTTCGGATTTAAATGGAAGAAATCAAGATTTTTACAAAACTTTTCAAGAACGAAAATTTTAGATTTGGAGGTCAAGTTATTGTCAGAATTTGATAAAATTGGTATGGTTGAACTCGTGATTGAATGGGTTGTTGGATTTTGTGAGTTTCCTCAGATTTCGGGATGTGGGCCCCATGAGCAATTTTTGAGTTAAATTTTGAATTCTGTTGGAAAATTAGTATTTTCATATGGAATGAATTCCTAAAATTAATATTGACTAAATTGAATTAACTGCGGCTAGATTTGAGGCGTTCGGAGGCCGATTCGCGAGGTAAAGGCATAGCAGAATAAAGAAGTACACAGTTCGAGATAAGTAAAAATTTTAAATTTGGTCCTGAGGGTATGAAACCCCGGATTATGTGTTATGTGATCGGTTTTGAGGTGACGCACATGCTAGGTGACGGATGTGTGGGCGTGCACCGTAGGAATTATGACTTGGTCAAATTTTCTGGAACTGTGTAGTTGAATAATCTGTTGTTATCTGTACATTCTCCATGTAGTAGAGAAATTGAACCACAAATCATGTTTAGATTATGTGTTGGCACTGTAGGGACCCACAAAGGTCGTGCACATGTTGAATTATCTGCTAAATTATTGTTTTGTACTTAGTTACAGTTTACTTGTTTATTTTATCTCAATCTCTATAGTTCATTATTGATGCATTATATTATTGTTGTTTGGGCTGATTTGCATGATCATTGAGAGCTCGAGAGACAGGAGAGATTAATGATTGAGTGAGGCCGAGGGCCTGATTGTGAGATATTATATTATATTATAGCACGTGAGTTGTCCGTGCAACACGTGAGATTGTCTGTGCGAATCCATATATTATACTATAGCGCGTGAGTTGTGTCTGTGCAGCACGTGAGTTATCCGTGCGGATCCATATATTATACTATAGCACATGAGTTGTCTGTGCAGCATGTGAGTTATCCGTGCGGATCCAGATATTATACTATAGCACGTGAGTTGTCCGTACAATACGTGAGTTATCCGTGCGTATCCAGACATTGTACTATAGCACGCGAGTTG